ACATGAGGACTGTTTGAAAGTCTTCTTTTCCACTAAAACTTTGATGCGCATCGTATCAGTTTATTATGTCAACATAACAAAAGATGTGATCGCAAACTAATCAGGAAAAAAGGCATTACATGCAAATAACATGTACATTTCTATAGTCGCCAGTAGTGACCTCAGCAAAAATCTCACTTGCAAATTAAGGCCACGTTCTCACAGCAGCAGAATACGGTTGTCAGTCCTGTATTTGAGTCCTTAATGCGGTTATGTTCACACACAGTTCGGTTATTTACGGGCATGAAAATCGCATTCTGTAACCGAACTCACACCTGTACATTTTTAGGATTCACAACCGCATTCTCAGAAAACATGCGCTGTGGAACCGGACTGGACAACTAGTGTCTGTCACGTCATACAGTGCGAGAGAGCTGCTCTGCTGCACAAATGTGTCTAACATGTGTTACGTGTTTTCATGTGTGATTTCGGTAACTTACAGCAGTGGAGAAATGAGCGGTATGTCATCTGAAAGTTTTAGATCCCGTTAGTTTTCCACCGGAGAACTGTCTGTTCTTTTTCCCCGTCTGTTTTGTGTTCTGCGCGCTACTTAAATGCTCCGCTCTCCACCCAAATGTAAAAGCCGCTGTCGGTTAATGAAGATTTGACGGAAAAACTCGCGGCTCGATTGGACTCTTGTCGTGTCAGAAAGTGCTAAGACTTTCAGTTTTATGGACGTCGCCATCTTTGATTTTACTTTGGTCACTGTCGCTATGGTTACTAGTAAGGAATACGGGCTTGACTCTCGTTGCACGTTCATACAGTATTCTAAACACAACTGTAAGCTGCTGTGTGAACGGGACATTTCGAGACTCACACCTGTAAAGGAAGTGCAGTTGTCAATCCCAAAAACTGACAGTGCAAACGTAGCCTAAGTTTTTTGGTCACCAATGCGACTGTTTTAATCATAGTCTGGAGCCCTGCGTCATGCGGTGTGATACCTGTATGCTATACTTTATATAAAACTATTTTAAACAGAATTTTGCTGTTTATATATATATATATATATATATATATATATACTATAATGCTTGATATATATTTGTAATATATTTGTTTATATATATAGGCTATAATGCTT